GATAACCGGAGATAGAGAAAAGGAAATCCTAGATGTGATTGAGAACAGCCCCAAAGGAAACTACAAGAAGCTGCAATCCAGACTCTCATACCATCCAGCGCGCCAACCCGAAACTCACACCCGAACAAGCAGGCAAATACGCCGCTGAGAAACTGCATCAGTTCCAGCAGCAGCGCATGTCACAGATGGCAATGAGCGCTGCTGCGGGAACTATCGGCGCCATGAACCCCGCGCAGTTCGGGCACGCGAACGCCCATGGACATGGGAATGCGCATGGGCAGGTACAAGGACATGGGCACGCGCACCCCCAGGCCATGCAAGCTGCGCAGCAGGTGGCGCAACAGCAGCAGCAGCATGCGAACCAGCATCCGCATGGTCACCCGAGTAATCCCGCGCAGCAACAGCAGCAACACCACACGCAGCCACCAAACGCCGCGGCAGCACGGAATCATGTCAATCCTTACGCTGGACATGGGTCGCCTATGGCTGCGTCCGCATCTATGGCGACGCCTGGCATGCAGCGGCTTCCGTCGCAGGGACTACAGGCTCAGAACCAGGGGCAGGGTCAGAGGAGTCCTGGTACGCTGTCGGCAGGTAACAATGCAGCTCAGCAAGCGCAGGGCTACTCCCCGCTCGTGCGGACCGCGACTACGCATTCCCAGGGCCACAGCCAGTCTCCTTACCCAACTAATTACCCACAACAACAACCATCCTCATCAAACGCCGTCAACGCACAGCAAAACATGCGGGGCCGTCCTCCCTCCGCAGCAAGCAATGGCAACGGCCATGCCCCTGGTGGCCAGGGTATAAGCACGCCGAACATCCCCTCTTCCGTCCCCGCCATCTCCTCGCCGTCGGCGAATGTCGCACACTTGCAGCAGCAGCAGCAGATGCGACGCAGCGCGAGTAATCATGCTGCCATGACGCCCGTTAGTAACGGCGGGAAGCCCCAGCCGCCGACGCCATCAGGACGGCAGAGTCAGCCGGCGATGGGTAATGCAAGCAATGGGGTCAATAGCGCTGGGACGCCGGCGCCGCCTTGAAAGAGTTTCCTTATGTTTTTGTTTTCTTTCCCTCTTTGCTTCCCCGATCATGTCACCGTGGGAATGCAGAGTATAAGCATGGATGGCGAAGTAGGAGTTTCTCGAGGTTCTGGGCTGGACTGTGTCTGAGGTTTCTTTATATTCTCCATCTCTCTCGTTATTTTGAAGGGTGCTGCATACGCCATGTATGCGGCGGTTGGTTTGCTTTGCTTTACCTTAGCCCGGTTGGCTCTTTCTTGTATATAGATATCCATGTATGTATGCCTTTACCGGTACTCTGATATACTAGAGCATTGTTGTTGTCCGTGGTCTTCAGTAGCGTGTCCATGGTTATTATTTCGACGTGCGTCAATCAGCGCTGTGAACCGGACAACGGTCCGCGCTGCTGATGATGTCGTCGTTGCCAACGCTAAAATGTAAATGGCCGCATGGCCCAATTGGCAAGGCGCTTGACTACGATTCCAAGTCTTGGCATCAAGAGATTCTGGGTTCGAATCCCAGTGTGGTCATCTTTTTGCCTTTTTCGTATCCGTACCATTTTGTCGGCCTTGCTTTGAAGTTTTGGTACCGCTGGCAGAGCTATCCAATTTCTATTGCCCTCGCCTTGCTTTGACCCTCACCATCTGACAAGCATCTGAATTTGCCGGTCGTTTTGTTACCGTCGTTGATATAGTTACCCTTGACATCAGCCTTCGGCCTGTCCGCTGTCACCTCCGCGGAGCTACGCCCGTCCTTCTTTTCAGAGCTTCTCAGCCGGGACGCTCTGCCATCCAAAACTTTACTTTACTATTCTTACGAATATGTCGTCCTCAAAGAAGTCAGATGCGCCAGAGGCGAGGAGCAAACCGTTCTCACTATCAATATCCTCAAAAAATGCACCAAAGAAGCCATCGTTACAGCAATTGCCCAGACGAGAGCTAGCGCCGAAGTCAGGACCTAAGAAACCAAGTCGTTTTGGAGACGATGACTCCGACCAAGAACAAGATGCCCTCCCCCAAGCAGAAGAGGTGACGGGCTTCGAGGCAGGCGGCGCTGTCACGGCAGACAAGCGGGAGGAGAAGAAGCCGTTGGTTATCAATACAGCAAGCAAAAATGACTGGAGAGAGCGCGTCCTTCGGCGAAAGAGGGATTTGCTACCGCCAGAGGTTCGCGCGCAGAAGGAGGCTGAGGAGAGGGGAGCAGTGGATGCTAGCGTTGAGGTTGAGGGACCTAGTGTGAAGTACGGGCTGAGCTTTGCGCCTCCAAAATCAGAAGACGAAGAGAAGACGCCTGAGGATACAACTGAAAAGAAGGCCGTGCCAGCGCCAGAGACGGAACCAATTGCTGAAAAGCCTGTGAATCAAGACGACGCTGCATTGCAAGCCTTAATCCGCGAGAGCAAAGGCGAGGAAACCGGAAAACGGAGCAATCTCATCATACCTACGCGAAGACAAGATGACGAGAATGAAGGCTACTCTGGCCCTGTCGACGAAGATCAGGCATACCGAGCCGATGTCGCCCAGTTACCAGAACCAGCCACATTAGACGCCTACGCGGCCGTACCCGTTGAGGAGTTTGGAGCCGCCTTGCTACGAGGCATGGGCTGGAAGGACGGTGAGCCGCTGAACAAGAACAAGTACGGCAGCAGCGCAGCCAGCGTAAAGCCACGCATCCCAGAGCGGCGGCCAGGATTCCTGGGGATTGGTGCGAAGGATGTCTCTGGGAAAGCGGGGGATATGGAGATAGGCGCGTGGGGGAAGGCTGCGATGAAGAAGGCAAGAAATTCAGGAGAGGGCCTTTACACGCCTGTCGTCATGCAGAATAAGAGGACGGGGGAGAAATTGACAGAGGAGGAGTTCAAGAAGTTGAGTAAGGGGGATAGGCCGGCGAAAGATGAGGAGGATTGGAGGGACCGGAGGGATCGTGACTCGGGCAGGTCAGGGGGGGACCATGGCAGGTCTGATAGGAGGGATCGCGATCGAGAGCGGGAATCATGCAGGCATAGAGATAGGGACGACCGGCATCGCAGGAGAGACGAAGACAGGCGAGATCGCGATTACGACAGGAGACGCAGGGACAGGGAAGAGCTGAGCCCTAGGAGGGGAGACAGAGACAGACACAGTCGAAGCTACCGAGATCGAGAGGAGCGTGGGGATAGGGATAGGAGGGAGAGAAGGTATGAAGGTGACAAGCATCGTTCGAGGCATCGGTCGTAGTTGGAAACACGTCCACTACATCGTCTTTGATATTGCATTGCAACGTTTGTACAGTTGGCATATCATTAGATACCATTGTATCAGGAGCATAACCCGTTTTCGCGTACTCCGTACATGGCAAAGAATTGGTTTACATGAAGGTATCTACTTTTTGTTATACAAAACCACTATTCCCTAGAACAAATGCAAAAGAAACATGCGATAATCTATCATCCCCCAACTCTTCCTCTACTCAGCCATCACGACATCGTCCGTCGCTAGCTTCCCACCAATCCCACCATCCATCTCCCCAAGCACCCACTCAACAAGGTAACTCTCGTCCACCAACTCCTCAGACCGCTTATAGTGGCGTTCCGTGTACGCCGCAAGCGCATCCAGGATATCCTTCATTGGCATGGCGGACCCGAACTTTGAGCGCCTCTCAGCAGCACCGGCGGCAGCAGCGTCAGGGGCACCACGACGGCGCGACGCAAGCTTGACGAACGTCGTCGAGGGATACGACTTGAACAGTGCGTGCAAGATGCGCTGGGCGACATGCGCTGTCTTGGCATTTGTGTTCCAGTCACGGACACGGCAGAGGAGGAGGTGGAGTTGGTCCTCATCGAGAGACTGGAGGACGACGTCGATGTCGGGGTTGCCTGTCAAGCTGTCTGCGTTGTCAGTGGCTTGATCCATGGCGGAGGTGAAGAGGGCGAGCAGACGGCCGGGGTGGTTAAGTTGCAGGGCGAGGATGATAGCTTCCCGGAACTTTCCTGCGTGGATGTAGTTCTGGAGCTGCTGGTCCTGTTCGATCCTGGCTGTGTTGGCGTTGATGGCCTCGGAGTAGGTAGCTGATGTGGTGTCCTTCCAGAATGTAGCCACGGAGTCGGCACCACCAGAGATGAGAGCGTGCTCGGTGTTAGCAGGAGGAAGCTCCTTGGAAAAGGTGGTTGTTGTTGCAAGTGCCCAGACCCGGTCCGTATGGTTGTCCAGCGTCGTCTCGAGCTCGCCAGTGTACGGCGACCAGATCTTAACGAGGCCATCTGCGCCCGCAGAGGCAATCAGAGGGTTCGTCTGCACTGCACTCTTATGAGCATCCTCGTCCTCGGAATCGACCTGTGACGGGGGAAGCCAAAGAACCTTTAGAACGCTGTTAGTGTGGCCCTCAAAGGTAAGGAGACAGCTGTAGTCAGCAAGACTCCACAGCTTGATCGTCTTGTCTCCTGAACCGGTGGCGACGACGCCACGGTTCGTGCTCTTCCCGTTGTCAGTCGTGATGGCGGGCGCTTCTTTCGGTGCAAATTTAATGGACCAGACGCCTCGCTTGTGGCCGCGCAAGAGACCAATGATAGACCCGTCTTCAACTGACCAAATCTTCGAGGTCCTATCTTGGGACGCGGAAGCGAACAGGGTAGACGAGTGGTTGACGTCTAAAGCGTTGATATCCTTGTCATGCGCCTTGCGTGTGTACACCGCCTTGACGGAGGGTACGTCTGTGTTGGCTTGCAATGCAGCAGCAACCTTTGACAAATC